GTGTCCGCAGCCGAGCAGCGGGGCCCGAAGGTCCCTGGCACAGGGAAGCCCCTCACCCCAACCCAGAGCCGGGGACGGGTCCCCACAGCCCCTCTCCCCACATGGTCCCTCTCTTCTCAGAGCCCTACTCCGTCATGGCCCCTGTTCCTCCCGCCCCTTTTCCCGCACAGCCCTGCAGCCCATCACGAAGGGGCAGGGACCAGCTACCCGCAGACACTGTGGCGGAGGCCGGCTCCACTCTCCAGGCTGGGGTCTCACAAGCTGAGGAGTTGAGCGGTCAGGCCAGGGACTCTCACACTGGCAGCAGGACCCTGTCCCGCCACTTTCAGCCACGCTGGAGCTGCTGCCCCTACGGGGAAAACTTCCTAGGGATATCCCCATGAATAGATAACGAAGAACGCAACCCAATTCATCACAGATTCACCGAACCAAATTGGTTGGAAACGACCTTTAAGATCATCAAGTCCAACCTTTACCCCAGGACTGCCAAGTCGACCATTAAACCATGTAACTAAGAGCCAAATCTACACGGGTTTTGAACACTTCCAAGGATGGTGATTCCACTTCCCTGGGCAGCCTCTTCCAATACCTGAAGAGCTTCCAATCTTTCTGTGCTGGGCTTCAGGACTTGCTGCTCCAGCTCTTCCCCAGGCAGGGAGCTGGCTGGGGGGGGGCCAGGCTGGGGGGCTGATCACAGAGGAGATGCCCAGTAGCTAAAAACGCACAGAGGAGTTCGCTTATACAAGTGCGAAGGATGTGTCTGTCAATTCTTGCTCCTGGGACTGGAGGCTGCAAGGGATGTACCTGGGGCTTACAGGAAAGCTGGGAGCAATTGTCCCAGATGCCAGCCTAAAAATCCTCTGTTGGCAGTGCAGCTGTTCTCAGAATGAGGGAAATTTTGTTTCGTCCCATTCCAGAGTTACAATTTTCCATGTTGACAGAAGAAATTAATCCCAGGCTTTTCCATGCCAACCTTTTCCAAACTCTCCAGTATGACTTGTTCTCTTCTGCTGCATGAGATGCCAGGAAATGATAATTCTCATTTTCATGTCTCATTTTAACAAGGCACGCTCCCATGAGTGTCTTCAATAAGCGAACACCATTTTGTCCAGAGACACAGTGGAAATTACAGGCCACAAGTGTTCTGCCACAAGTGTTCTGAAGCTCTGCTTCCGCCACTGCAAATGCTTGCCTACAGCTCAGGGCTTGCTTTGGTCTTTCCACTGTCAATCCTTCCTCAAGGAACTCTAGCAAAGCAAGTATGGACAGCACTCTGCTGCACAAGCTGCCCCACGGGACTGAGACAAAATCATCAGTAAATAATTAGTAATCAAAGGTCATAATGGCTCAGCCCTTTGATTATAACTGCTCCTGTTAAAAGTTAGCCATAGGGTGTTTGCAGCCAATGATCCAGGATAAGCAAGAGAGGAAGGTTTAGGGGACCCACAGGAGGGACTGTAGAAGGTTCTGAGGATGCAGGAGGGCCGTGGCAGGGGTGAAGTGAGTGCAGTGAGGAAGGGGGTGTTTGGACAGGCCTGAGGTGGGCTGACAGGGGAAGCTGGGACATGAGTCACAGCAGCATGGGCAGCTGAGCAGTAGGCATGAGGCAGAACAGGCAATTCAAATCAACAGCTGTGACACACTCAGCAGAGCCCCAGCAATGAGCTCCGGGAGTGAAAACAAAAGGAGAAAGTCAGTGTTTTCAGCTGACATTTAATAGAAATCTGGCTTCGAAATTATTAATTTACATACAGAAGGCACATAAATTTGAAGACAGCTCTCCAAGATCAGCTACATTTTCTGCAAATAATTACTGAGAAAAAAATATGGCTTCTCAGAGCAGCCCATATATGCTAATCACACTGCACCCAATATGCTAATCACAACAGGGGAGCATGGCCTGTTAGCTTGAAACGCAGTGGATGGTGTCACACCACCAAGGGCTATTCCTGTTGCTCTGGCATATTGCAATGAGCCATGTGGAGAAGCAGAACAGAAATGCATGGGTAGGAGAAGTGCAGAACCATCAGTGAAACTTTGCCACTGCACCGTGGCTTGGGTCACTTGAAGAAGAAGCCGTATTTCAGCGGGTCCTCCTCTTCAACGGTGAAGGTGGCCGTACCAATGTAAAAGGCTTCTCCTGAGACTTCCACAACAACAGCGTTGTAGTCACCCAACTTGGCTTCCTGCAGAGGGATTGGGATCAGGACAGAGGTGATGGGGGGTTCTCCACTCTCCCAGCCCCAGGAAATACCAGTGCTACCTGGTACTTGTGCAGAGACACCCCTTACCGAGCACTCTGCCCTTCCCAGGTACATCCCAAAGTGTGCAGCAGCTCTTTCACCACCTGCACGAGCTCCACACCTGCACAACCATTACTGCCCCTGCTCTGAGCTCATGAGCCCCTGCACTGCCACAGGAGGCCAACAAGCCACTCACACCCAAAAACAGCTCCCTGGGACATGTCCACACCTTCATGGCCACATGCTGCTAGATGTCACAGGGCCAAGCCTGGGCCTGGAAACCCGGATGCACAGACCCAGCTACTACATCTCTGAACAGCACAGTCAGCCTTTCAGCAGGGAAGAGGGGACTAAACCAGGAATCCACCCTTAGCTGCCACTGAGAATGGATCAGGCTTATTTATCTACATAAGCACTTCTCACTCTAGTCCCTTCCTGACAGCCAAGAGAGGACTTCCAGGGAAGCCATGCAACAGAATAGGGTCTTACTGTTCCTTGCTTCTCTAACTAGAAACCTTGAAGCATGAGGATTATGGGAAGACAAGACCCCCAGACACCTCCCTCCTTCCATACGTCCTTCGCCAGGCACAGAAAGACTTCTCTGGTTCTCCCCTGAGCCAAGGCCACAGCATTTTTCCAGCAGTCCTCCAGACAGAGGGAAAGTCCAGCAGAAGCCACTTGCCTTCACTGCCTTCCCGGTGAACAAGGACCCCGTGGTGCTGCTCCGAAAGGTTCTGGTCTGATTCAGCTGGATGAGTCCCTTATGGTACTGCAAGGCGATGCGAGCTGTCACACCCGATCCTGTTGGACTTCGGTCAACCTATGTTCAGAAGAGATGATGAACCAGCTCTAGCGTTTTGGGGTTTAACAGAAAACAGTATCACTCTCCTCAGTTCTCTTGGCCACCTTTATACTGCACTTGGGGGAGATCCCTCTATCCCAGGTTTTTGTACAGAATCCAGATACACCATAAAGGAAAAGACAAAATAAGCAGGTTTGGGGTACTTCTGAGTTGTGATCAGCTTTGTCAAACTTGTAGGGATGAATGATCTAGTAAATATTGAGGCTATTCAGGGAGCACTTTAAAGCTTCCCAGCATCATAGCAAAAGCACTGAGGGGCAGAAGCCACCTTCCCCATTCTCACATGTCAAGGCAGGATCAGTTCTCCTTACAGTAAGAACGCTGCTGGCCAGCCTGGATTTTAAAACCTCCAAAACCACAGCGTTGGCCAGCTTCTGAGGTGATCTGTCCCAATGCTCCACACTCCTCACTGCTAAGAAGCCCAGTCACAACTTCCTCTGCTATTTATGTGATGCCTTATCCACTGCAGATAAGGACAGAAGTTTACACCCCTTCTTTTCTCTCTTGCTCTCTTCATTCCCGGCAGCTATTCCCTAGATGGAAGACTTTGAGGACGTTCACTATGTTGGGATCCCACCTCAGCCCCTGAATTCCTGGGAAATTTCTACCTATGGAACACATTTTAAAACGCCACCATCTAAGATGTGCAGAAGTATTTCTGTCATTAGGAACTAAACCAGAATGTGTTAAGTGACAGCTCCTCAGGGGAAAACTGTCACAGAAGCAATCATCACTACCCAAAGCAAGAAGCAGCAGAACTGTCCCTCTCTGGAGTTGATGTAAGAAAGGAAAAAGGTGATGCCTTATGTGCCTGAGAAGAGCCCGTTCCTGTACCTGTTCATCTGCAAACACACAGATGTTGGTAGTGGGCTCCTCACTAAAGGCATCTTTCCCATCGGTCAGTATGGTGCCATAGAGAAAAGCCAGGTCTTCGCTTTCAGGGTGATGAAGCTTGAACTAGGAACAGCAAAGACAGGTTCAGCAACACGTGTTGCAGCTGGGCAGCCAGCAGTATGTGCAGTGCAGTACAGCTTCCTGGAGACCAGAGGAAGAGGACAAGGCTACACTGTTGCTTTTCCACCTCTGCTTCTTCAGCCACAGAGAAGGGGACAGCAGCAGGAAAGAGAGCTCCTGCTCATGTCCTTGTGAGGCTGGAGGAGGACTTTGGTATTCAACATGGGGCTAGAAGGATGGGACTCCCTCCCATCCTGACCCTCTCGGGGGAATAAAGGGCCTCTGCCTGGTGCAGTCACCTGAAGGAGCACGCTGGGGTACCACAGTGCTCTGCCATACCTGTTTCTTCACTGCTTCTGTCACCGCGCTCGCCGCATTGACAAGGTCTCTGGTTTTTGAAGAGCACACATCAAGGCCCAGCTGCTCAGCGCTGAGGAAGGCATAGAAAGTACCACCATAGCCGATGTCAACCACCACCTTCCCGTAACCAGGGACGTCGATGGCCAAGTCTGGGCAGAGAGAGAGAGGGCTGTGAGGAAAGGAAACTGTGCTGGGCCATGGGCTTGCGTGCAGAGTAGAGGAACCCAGCCATGTGCAAGGGGGGCACAGAGACAGTGACTTGAATGCTCCCATGCCAGAGAGCAGCAGATGACACCATCTGAGGATCGTCAGAACTGGGGACGGATTTGCCAGATGCCCCTCATCAGCCAGGCCACCAGCCCCCCCAAAGCCAGCGCGGCAGGCGCAGTTCCCACCTGTAGTGACAGCGAAGGCGGGCACACTGTGGAAGCGGACAGGGTTGCCACTGCGGCGGCCATCCCAGGGCACAAAGGCAGTGACGGGCCCGCAGGGGCAGCGCAGGTGGACAGC